TTTAAACCCCGACATTTTGCTAACGCACTTGAAGATCTATATTAAGAAACTGATACTTACTTTCACAATGCACTCTCACACTGAGATGGTACCGTTAAATAACCTGGGGCGGTGTATTTGTCCTTGAAACTTTCCAAAAATTCTTGCATTCTTTCACCCCCACCCTAGAACATTGTGTTCGCATAACGGGACGAAATAATGCAGAGCTCGGTTCACACTAGTGCGAAAATAGTGTTAAACTCACCATGTGAAACAAAAGTGAATGAATATTAAACAACATATAAACTTAAAAAAAAAAGCCCCGGTTAAGCCGCAAACCGGTTAATCCGCCCCCGGATAATCGAGAGTTGACTGTACAATGATTCATGGATGAAATAAAATTGAATTGAATTGAATTGTTAAACTCAAAGTGAGACAACCCAAATTCTTGCAAAAAGACAAGAATTATGCACATCATTTTCTGCAATTAATTTAAATTCCAAGGAAAAGAGATAAGATAAAACTTGCACTGTTTACTTACCTTTCACAATATTACATATCTATACCATAACCAAAAACCAATGATTTTACAATTTAGTCATCCATTTCTGTATGTTTCAGAATTTAAGTAACCAGAAACAAAATACAGTTCATGATGAAATTAAGAGAAGACTGAATTATGGAAATGCCTACTATTATTATTCAGCTCATGAACTGAATGTATAACATTGTTCAGCTCTGTTAACTTCTGAAACCACTGAAGAATCAGGATATATGAAAAAATAATTTTGACACCTGTTTCTTATGGGTGTCAAATACTATTTTACTCCAGGAAAAGAATATAGATTACAAAACTTTGAAAACAAAGAGCAGAGGGAAATTTGTGGGCATAAAAAGGATGACATTAGTGAACAATTTAGTATCATGTAATGAGCAGCTTTATGATTTATACAAGTAATCCAGCATTGTCAGGATAATGAAATATATGTCGCTGCATTATGCTTGGCACATGGACATGAAGGGAACTTTGAACAACATATACACATTACAATTTATCTTCAATTTTGCCACAAGCTGCCATTAAGTGAGGTTCGACATTACATATAAGCCCACTCATAAATTTGGAGTCCTGTGTTGCTAACACTACTGTATTTGACCTCTGCATTAAGCAGCCATTTACTCAATTGTGTTCATGTGTGATACCTATGTGAAAAGCTGTTGCATAATAAACAAGAAGATTCTGGAGTACTTTTCAGATATTACAGTTCCACATAGAAAAACAAATCATACAGTCATACACAAATATAGACAGGGTTATTACTGGACAAAGAGATAACCAAATCAAAATTTTGAGTAATCACTAAAATAAAAGTGGATAAGATCAGTATGACTCTTAAAAATTCTCTCTAAAATTGATCAGAAACACTGCAAAGGAGAACATGGTTTTAAGAGTCAAGTTCATTCTACTTCCAAAAAGTAAAGAGTGAACATGAACTCTTTATAGATGTGCCAGGAATATGTGTGTAACAGAGAGCATTTCTGGCATCTGTTATAATCCGAGTTGGTTTTGTTTGTGATTTATTGGCCTATAGGTGTATCAATTCTGAAGGCCCAGGTGGGCAAGATGAACAATGGACTCTTCTGCCTGGCTAGGTCATTTGAGGCAGGTTATGACATGATCATATTATATTACCCGGAAATGTTAAACATAGGGTTCTCACTATTTCTGTGTTTTCAGTTTTTAAGGCACAACATATTATTCTAAATAAATTTTGTAAGTGTGTTTATAATAAAACTCCATACCAAATCATATATGCAGCAAATACAAACTCTGCACAGTCACCATCTTATTTTTTGTATTCTGTAGAAAAATTATTTCCAAAAGAGTTTAACATTCTTTGCACAAATGTTCAGACTTTGCATTAATTTTTTTCTGTGGCATGATGACAATACTGTAACGGATTTGTCAAAGCATTGCTTGGCAATGTCTCAGTAAACACATTCAAACACAGAACAATGGAAACTGTGTCTCAGCAGACAAACGGTATCGCTCGTTGCTAGGCAGCAGCTAACATGCCAATGAACTGGCAAGATAGCAGTCATGTGACTTGTTTTTCTGTGTTGTCTATGCAAAGCCTATATAACAACGATCTGTTGTACCTAAGAATAGTGCAATGCTGTGCAGTACAGTACAGCTGAGAGTACAAGGACGAGAAGGGAGCATGTCCTTAGTGAATTGTGAAGATCAGCTGAGTGCAGATTAGGACAGGGAAGTACAGAGTGATTGAAGACAGAATAACAAGAAGACTTCATACTGATTTACAGTGCTAGTTTCTGTGTTGAGATCCACTTCCTGGATATGACTAGTGAAAACAGTGCATGTGTAATAGTGAACTGAAGGTGTGCAGATTATCAGAAGCATTGTAATTGAGTGAAATTAAGAGAACTTGTAGCCAAAGTGTCAATAAATCCAACCATCCAATCCAGACCCCGTTATTTTCATCACACATACCGCCCTACACATGACAATACAAAGTTTCATGAAAATCAGTCAAGTGATTCAAAACTAATATACATGATGTATGCAGTCTGATATATTGCAAATAATATTTTGTCACAGAATTAAAGACGAAGGACTGCTACCAATATACTGCTATGTTCACCAACTTTACAAATCCAACAAAAACTTAAAACAAGTGAAGTGGCAAAGAATATATTCAGATCTGTATATCATCTCTAACATATGGTAGAATTTTCTACTGCACTGAAGAAAGAGCTTAAATTGCACACAGTGTGCAATGATTACTCAGGACTAACTTTTAGGACAAAATTTGAACACATCATATGAAATATGTTCCTTGTAAAATATGCTATGCAAAAAATAAAGTTTAACTTATGGTGCTGTATTTCTGTTGGTTCTGTATTAAACAGTTCAATCCTTCCAAGATTGGGTCCTTATTTCAGGCAGATCTGTTCCACTAAGAATCACAATTTTTAAAAACCTTATTCTTGTCAGTGAAAGTGCAAAAGCACAAAATAGTTCACAACAGGCTATATGTTTTGGACGGAATTTGTACCAGGAACTTCTACAATGCAAACCTTAAATATAGAAAGACCCTAACTATAACTTTCTACAAGTAATTATATATACCTATAAAACAACTTTGTACGGTGTGCAGAATCTGGAAAGTTTGGATAAAGGGTTAAAAACCTTAATACTTTGGAAACTGAAAAATTTGAAAAGCCATTGTTTAACCTAGGAAAGGAGATGTAGTGTGCTTAGTTAGATGTGGGGGAGAAGGCACTGAGACATTATTCAGAATGTATGGTTTATGGAAACTAAAATAAGAGGTGATAAAAGGTTCAGGAACAAAGAACGGGAATTAGGTATTTCTTTCTCAGTGACAGAGCAAGAGGATCTATGTGACTCAAAAGCAGGATCATGGTCAATGGAATATATTGAAATGCATTCAGTAGTAATAGCAAAATATTACTGATAACAGTAAGTTTACTGAAATAAGGGCAACAAGGAAACGGCCAGATGGAAACAGATATAAAGAGGCACAGACTGCCCTCGGTGTACATAGTCATGTGAGGCTCATAGCCCTGGAGAATATTCTGAACTTGTCTTAAAAACAGCAAGGTAAACATGTGACAAGATGCAAACAACTCAATTATATAAGGGTCCACATCATTTCATTCTCATACAACCATCACCCTGGGGTATAATTTATCTAAACATTTCACAAAGCTAACTTAATACAAACTAGACTAGGGAAGGTAAATGCAAATCATGCCGATCATCCTGAAAAACCATGGTTATGCATGAGATACTATTATACTAAACTCACAATTCATGCAACAGTGCACAATAATGAAAATTTCACTAAAACTCACTTTTTGAGGACAATCTCCGATGCTCCCTTGCTGAAGAGTCTGTAACCTCCTCCTTGCCGTGGTATCACAGTGCTCATGGATTTTCTTACGGAATTGAATGTGTAAACCCGCGTAAACATTTCTTCTGGTATGTCATCCCGAACTGTCTGGTAATTTTTACCGAGTGCTTGCACAAACCCTAACAATGCACACTCAGTTTTATTACCAACTTGCTTTGGCAACTCTCCAGGGCCATCTGGGGGCTGAAAGGAGAATCCGGCATTCATCACAAACATCACAGACACTAACTTGATAGCATTAATTAAAAATCTGTCAGAAGAATTGTGTTCTTACCATAACACGAGATGTGTATGCTGAATTTACAGCAATGGCTTGGATGAGTAAGTTTCCAACATGAGACGGAATATCCGAAAACTTTGGAATTGTTTTACTTAGCTTTTCACATATATATGACTGAACAACTGTCATCCTAATAAAACAAACAACACTGTATTAGCTTCATTACTATATTGCATGTATACCTTCAATATTTATTTATAGCTCCACAAGAATCATGTTATATTAGGATGCCAAAATAAATACCTGTTTGTAGTAAGGGTCCCAGTCTTGTCAGAACAGATGGCAGTTGCATTTCCCATAGTTTCACAGGCATCAAGATGACGAACAAGATTGTTGTCTTTCATCATTTTCTACAAAAAAAAAAGGTCAATTTATATTCTTATCACACATTATTTTAATGACTCATTAAATGACTCATCTGTCATAAAAATTCTCAAAATTTATCCTGCAGTACACAGAAAACCAAACCTGATGGTTCCTTCCTGTAAGTGTGCATCACATACCTTTACAGAATATGCAAGAGAAAGTGTAACAGCTAATGGAAGCCCTTCTGGCACTGCGACAACTAACACAGTCACACCGATGATAAAATACTTGACAAGCTCACTTGCGTGACTACTCATCCACCCACGTTGTTCAACCACGTATGTTTCTATGCAGAACCGAATAATTAATATCACTACTGTTAGCATGGCAATCATGGAACCTGAAACAGAACAGAAAATGTACCTTCATTTAGGCGTTATTTCTTGTGCAAACTCCCGTGCACCTCAAAACACATTAAACTGAAATGCATTTATATCATCTTGCACAATAAAGAGAGAAGATTTGTCACATCTTAAACATGTAAAAACAGCATAAACAGAGCCCAAGGTACTTGAGACTTAATAACAAAGGAAATCAACATACCCCATGAGAAGTGAAAAAGTTACCTCACAGGCCCAAACTGCTTGTACACAATTATTTTCCTTATCATTAAAGAATGAAACAATTCTAGCAAGGCAGAATGTACTAGTACTTCATGCAACTGAAATATGCCAACAGGAACCTAGCAACACATTATATTATTGGAATGCAACAATGATTTCAGCCCATACAGTCTGCTGTACTATATGATGAGACTTTTATATGAAGAGGTGCTATTGGAAAGTTCCCAAACTGTTACTGTTGTAACTGCCTCAATGAAAGGTGAGGGGGGAGGCAAAGGTCACACTTCTGCAAGCCCATTGCATCAGTCTGCCACACGACACCGCACTGTGAACACACATGGTTTTTACATGAGCGCTTTTTCGACTTTGTGATTCACTTTGTCTGTGATGGATGGCAAAATCCAGCAATGCATCCCCTAAATCTTGACAAATGATAAAATGCATCAGCACATGAACATGCATCTTGAGCTATGAGAGAAGGCTGCCGAGGACCCAACTTTTATCTCTAGGATCATAATGGGTGATCAAAGTGATGCAGTTCTAATACAGTTGAGACAATAAGCACCGAACTCTGCTATTTTATATGTAATGGTCACACCCATATTTTCTGAGTGATCAGTACAGAAAGGGCAGGTACTATGTGAGTAAATAGAGAAATTGAATCCATAATACAACAAAGTTCTGAGAAAAAGCCAGTCTTCTAAGTCCAGTTCTACCTGCATGAAAGCTCTCAGTTAACAGGCATAAAAGCATCTATGTTATTTATGATGAGTGGTCATCCTATGTAGTTACTGACATGAAAGAGTAACAAAAGGAAGGTTCTTTGAAGTCCCAGCAGGATGCACTGGTAATTGCACATAAACTATAATAATGAGGTTCAATTAGGCAGTAGGGTCATTATAAATAACTTTATTAACAGCGACTGTGTACTATGCCAAGGTGAAAAATAATGTCTTTCTGCAACACACAGCTTTATTCTTTATAAAGATATTTTGCTACTTGCGTAAAAAAATCATACTTTTGTAGAGAGTAAAGATCTTGAGAACACAGAAATTACCTGCATATCCAATTTGGATGGCAAGTTTGGTGAGTTTAGCTTGCAGTACAGATTTCTCCTTCTTATGGCTTTCTGAAGCTGGCGCAGGTTTGTGATTCTCCAAGGCATCATCGTGCTTATTGGGTGTGTTGTCAGCAATTGGAGCAGGCACACTCACATGGCTGTTACCAGTTACTGGTGCAGTCTCTTCCTCACCTATACACAGATCAAATCACAGTAACTTAGTCTGTCCATCATAATTCACACCAAATTACAAGCAAAAACATTTTGTGTGCCCATGTTACTAATACCCATAGAAACTTCTTATCATGTTCTGTGAAAGAATATTTAATTGTGATAAAATTATGCTTGCAATTACTTTAATGAAGAGTTTCTTTAACCTCAACACATGTCCTACATGTGAAGCCACTGCTACATTAAAACAAAAGGCCTACAATGCTATGTTGATATGGCAAGTTATCATTTTAAATTAAATGGAACTCCCCTACAAAATTACACAACTGAAGTTATTACATTTTAAAGGTTAGGCAAAAAGCTAGCGTTAGGCTATCTTGTTTTATAATAACTGTGTTTCCCACCAGCATGAAATGTTTCAAGATATTGTGATGAAACAGATCTTAACCTAAAAATTTTAGGCAATGCCATGCAAGCTTTTCATATTAGATGCATACAAGCTATGAAAGGGGTAGGCAAAAAACTTTCCCACTGCAAGATATTCAGAAATATTTATAAATGAATTTCTCTCAGTCTTCCACTCAATGACCACCCTTCGTGCTTGTTAATTAAAAAAATAATCTGCTGCTACAAGCATATGTTGGTCAGTTTAAATCAAAAAGAAAAAAAAAGGGAGCGTCTGCAGAAAAAACAACTCACACGGTACTTGAAAATCAGGCAAGAAATCTCATGTCTGCTACCAAATTACTGGTAGCTTTCTTTTATCAGAGGTATGATAGGATCATGTTCACAGACTTATTGCACTCAAGTCTTCAGTAAAAATTCTGAAGAACCTCTCTCTCTGCTCCCCACTAACTCATAAGAACTTCAAACTCTACCTCCCCATAATTTGATTTAAAATACATAACTTTCATTTAACTTGGCCCAAGATTTTCAGACACTACTATAATGATAAGAGACAAATTACGCTAATATAAGGAACTAAACATTAGAAACAACTGTAATTTATGCCAGCTGCGATCTCTGATGCATGGTGCTGAAGGTTACCATCAAACTGTATTCTTTGCTTAATGACACATAAACATCACGTTGACACACATTTATTTTTAGAGGATAAGAACCTCAATTTGATGCTCAAATAAAGGAACATTTCTGCTTAAGGTAACCCTCTGATATGTATGGAATATGATCATTAACATTATAATTTAACATTTTATGCTCATATGCAAAGTGATGTGGTGTGCTACATGACAGACTCTGAATGCCTAATTCTGAAAACTGACTTTCTGAAACACTGTGACAGCAAAATTGATATTTCTCTTTATTTACTCTACAGAATTGTACAAAATTTTTGCTGCATGTTTTGTCACCATATTTGGAACATACTGTCTGATAAGAATTTTCATGGATTATTCATTACCCAGTAAATAATTTTGAATTTATAGAAGTTTCATTGTTTTAAATGTCAGATTAAAATTGCAATTTTAGTAATTAAATGTGACATATCAATACTTCCGCCATCCAAATCACAGAAAAATCTATTACAGATATATTGGTTCAAGAATGACAGCTTTAGCTAAAATCCTGACAGACTTACGTTGTTTCTTCTGAAATTACTATATTTTGGATTTAAAGAAAACATTGCCCTCTCTTGGTATATTTTTCAAACCAACCACACAATACAAATTTACTACTTATGTGATGATTTATCGGAAACACAAAACTGTTTTAATTTCAGCATTTTTCACTCTTAATGCATAATGTTAATTGCCAATTACATCTGATGTAATAAATACTGAGTAAAAAAAAAGACGAACACTTAGCATCCAAGGGCATTCTTTTTCTTCAAACAAATTTTGTAACAATTCCTATAAATGTTACATTCTATGAAATATAAGTTTAATAGTGCTGTCCTGACTGGCCAACATCATCAAAATCCAAACTTCACCCCAAGGATGTCACACATATCTACTGTGCTGATAATATGTAAAAAATTTTCATTACATACAGAGGCTGACTCTGAAGTCCCACAAGGTAGTGAATGAAAATACACCCATGAAATCTGAGGTTCTCTCAGCAGCAGCTAGAAGGAATACTATCTTCTGGGATGTGGCCCTGTGCAGTGTAGTTTGGCAGAAAGTATACTTGGCTCACTTTTGGCCCTGAAGATGGAATCAGTATGTTCTTCCGAAACTTCAGTAAATTTCCACCAAAATACATGATGACAAATCCAAGAAGACAGTCTTGTGATACTCACTGAAGATCATTGAACATTTCAGTTTTGTACAATGACTGGCTCTTTGGACATCCTCCATCATCCCATTTTTACTTAAAACAACTGGACTCTGTCTACATCCTCAGATAAAAAGCCTACTCAATTGGGACCACTTGACAGCAGGGCTTGAGGTGGGGCAGGATGGCATCCCGGTTCTTTTCTAAATGGCTTAAAAGCATCCTGTTACTTCTTTGCCAGTAAATGCAATGTACAATACCCAGGGCTTGAGGTGGGGCGGGATGTGGCGGGACGGCATCCCGGTTCTATTTTCATTCCACCTCAAGCACTGCTTGACAGAGATAGTCTGTATGAAAAAAAGATCATGGCATGGTCATTATCCCAATGTTAGGGGTATTCCCAAAAAATTCTGTTAAAACCATTTTCAAAACTAAACATATACTTTGTGTGATCCTAATGAAAACTGGACCTGTCAGAGATGCCCAGAAGCCAAAGCAATGCATATATAGTATTCCAGGTGATTGTAGCAGATTTTAGATTGGACAAACCAGTAGACATTTGGAAGTATGCATTAAGGAGCATAAATCTGATGCCAGGTCTGCTCAAAAAAATCAAAACTGGTACAACATGCATGTCAAGCATGCCATTAAATATACTGAAAAGAAGTGGAGTTCTTACAGATTGAACATAATATGATCTATAGGAATTACAAGAAATCAGCTCATATGCCTGTGGTAGCTCATCTCATTAGTCATACCAATTTCAGTATCTCTCCCATCCACGCTATCATCACTGAAAAGGAATTTAGAAAATTACAACTCTGCTCCATTTAGATTATAAGGGAATATTCTCTTTTTACATTGGTATTATACAGGTGTCTCATTTATGTAATACTTATTGGTACTGGATTGCTTGCTGTTACATCCTCTTCTGTATTAAGGAAATTTCATCTGCTTGAAATTTAATCCTATAAATTTATTGGGTTTCTTTTTATGTCTCTTTTTGTCTTATCTAAGACTTTAAAGGTAGGCAGACCATGTCCTACCATTGATGTTATAGTATCTATAATTGTACTTTTTAGAGTCTCACTCAATGGTTCTGGCTTCTGCTTTCGCCTAATTCCAGTTTTATGGACTCCGGCTGTTACATTATGCACTGCCATATACAGAGTGGGCCAGATTCAATTAGGCAGTTTTTGATTAGATGTTATTTTTATTGATAAATGTTAACAATTGCAATGGTTACAAAAATGGAATCGCACACACACAAGTCATCGATTTTCAAGATGCTGGTCAACCTGGGCACCACCTAAGTCAACACAAGCTTGCAGACGCAAAGCAACATTTCCACACGCCTTTCTACACATATTCACCGGAACTTTATTGAACTCCTGAACAATCACCTCACGCAGATGTTTCACACTGTCAATGGGATTAGCGTACACCTTGTCTTTGAGGTAACCCCAAAGGAAAAAGTCTGGTGGGGTGATGTCAGGTGATGTCGGGTGATCGGGCTGGCCACTCCACAGGCCCTCAACGGCCAATCCAGGGTTGAGGAAAAACTTGATGCAAGAATGCCCGAACAATATTGGCGAAGTGTGGTGGGACCCCTTCTTGCTGCCACCACAGTTCATCAAAGTTCTCTCTCCTCTGAAGTTCTGGGATGACACTTTCCCTCAGCAACTTTAGGTAGGTTTCCCCCGTGACGCAACCTTCAAGAAAGAATGGGCCAATCAGTCCTTCGTATGTCACGCCGCCCCACACCATCACTCCCGGGGACTTGAAATCGTATTCAATGGTGGCACTTGGGTTCTCTGGCTGCCAAAACATGCAGTTGTGTCTGTTGACTGATCCTGATGTGTGAAATTTGGCCTCATCAGTCCAGACAATATTCCGGATAAGGTCAGGGTTCTCCTGAAACTTGGTTAGCATCAACTCGGCGAACTCAAGTCACCTGTCGAAGTCGTCCTCGTTAAGAACATGAATAAACCATGGATGGTATGGCGTCAGCTTCACATCACTCAAAACTCTCCGCAAACTTGTCCTCAAAATGTCCAGTAGGGCCGACAAGCAGCAGGTAGACTTCGATTTCTGAGGAGATGATGCCAGTTCCGCAGCAACACGTGCTTGTGTGTCAGCAGTTCGGACAGTTCTCGGCTGACCAGGATGCTTGGGATTCAAAGCACTGGCAGTTTCATCAAACTGCTTGTTTATTTGGACGATTGCATCCCTGTGGACTGCTGGCGGTCCAAACTCTTCCAACATCCTGCACTGGACTTCTGATACATTGTTACACATAATAACTGAGAAAAGGTGCACACATTTTACACACTGCTCAATAGACAACCGTCTACCGGCCATGATGTTTCCTCGATGCGCACTAAGTAGGCAGAGTATTGACCTCATCCACAGCATACCATATGATGCTGCCATCTATCGACAACAAAAGGTACTTTCCCATTATCCTGTGTGTTATTGGATTGGTTAGTTATTAATGATCAAAAACTGCCTAATTGAGTCATTATCCCGTGTGTTGTTGGATTGGTTAGTTATTAATGATCAAAAACTGCCTAACTGAGTCTGGCCCACCCTCTATGTATATATATATATATATACTGCTGGAGCCCAACTGAATTGACTTTTTATCTGAGGAGGGAGACAGTCTCGTCTCGAAAACGTTTTAAATAATAATGGGATGACGGATATTGTTCAAAACATTGATCACTGCATTAATACTCCACTGTCATGAACTTTCAGATATTGTTTCATTTTACTGATTGTACTCCTGCAAACTGTTTTGGAGTTGCAGGGTTTAAATTGTGTCCTGGGAACTAGATATTGTGGGGCACCTTGTATAGTTTTCCTCAGTTCTTCCAAGAAAATTCTGGGACACTACTTCAAATTAAGTCAAGACTGTTACCTTTCACACTTTTCTGATTTCAGCAATCATTCTATCACTCAATACTATATAATCTGAGCTGCTTTAAGTGCACAAAACTGAACCATAAATAAACACATAAATAGTTCCACCAACCTTCTACCCTCACAACCCATCCCCTGAAGATCAATTACAATGTTAACCTCCCATTCCCTTCTTTGTCTTCCAAATTCATGTTTCTCAAGAAGTTTTCCTGAATCGTATATGCAGTCACTGTCCCTCAGCCTAGCACAGCTAACTGATTGCATTATCCTTAAAGTACTAGCAAGAACAATCACATTTTTTTAGCCCTATATGAACTTTACTAGATATCTTCTGGATACACATTTCAATCCAACAGTTTTCTTTGGTATTCCAAATTCAACAAAATATTGCACAGTGCTTCTCTCCTAAATGAATAATGCATTTTCTTAAAACATCTAAGAGCTAATGTGATATTATTTTCCCATTGCTCTCTCAAGAAATCTGTGAATGCAACAGACTGGATAAGTAACAGGCCCATTATCATGGATTCCTAACTGACTGTCTCCAACAATTCCATTTATGAAGCTGTTAACCATGCCAGAAGTATATCAGACAAAATTCTGAACATGTTCACAAAAGAGATTTCTCAGATATTACTGTGGTCAGCCTTTTTGACTTGGTTTAAAAACAGGGAAAATATTTGATTCCTTCCACTGCTGTGGCAATTCTGCTTCAAGCAGAGACTCTAAATTAGACTGTGGTATTCTGGATTACAAACAGTGTGTAGCCCTGTAGGAAGTTATCACCGTTTTTAAGAAACCTGCTGCCTACATCTTCAGGGGTTCAAAAGACTACAATCTAGATCTTCTCTGCTGTGAAAACCTCAAATCTAGCATGGGGAAAAGTACCCATTGCCTGCTTGAATTAATTCAGCTGGAATTTACTTGATACCTGTGAATTTATAACACATATATTTCCCAATGAGGAACGCAGTAGCATAGTTGGTTGAGGAACTATGCTACAAGCCGGAAGGTTGCAGGTTATAGTCCTGATGAGGTCATTGGATCTTTTCAATTGACCTAATCCTTCCAGCCGCACTATGGCCCTGGGGTCGACTCAGCCTCTAACAGAAATGAGTATCAGGAATTAAGTAAATAATTTTCCTGGGGAGTAAAGCATGGTCGGTGTGTAAGGCTCACAACATTACCGCCATCTTTTTGAGCCGATTGTCTAGATAATATGGGACCTTCAACGTCTCGCAACCCTAGGGGCCTTCACAGCCTGTTACAGGGATAGTTTTTTTTTTTACATTTCCCAATGATAATTCCAACTTTATTAAAGCTAGATTGTGAGACTAAAGGTTTGGCAGTATATAATTTAAACTCCAAATTCATTACCTATGTGTGCATTCAGTAGTTTACTAAAAGAAAATTTTCCACCTGTCTACAATATCACAAGAACCTACATGACTATCGCTCTTTTTATATTTTATCAAATGCACCCTGCACTGGTGTCCCTTCTTAAATTCATTTATGAATGAATACAAATCCTATACAAATACTAATACTTTTGTCTTTATTGTTTATTTCAATTTTATTATATCTGACCTTTAGATATTCCCTCATTATATTCCTCAAAACTTGCTGAGTTTTGTGCTTGTGACTGGCATCAATTCCAGTCTATAGCAGTCACCAAACTATGACTTCACAAAATTTTGCAAAACTCTCCTTATCAAGTACATTTTCCAAGGACCTACACTACTAATTTCTCTACTATCTGGAATTTCATTTGAGATTTTAACCTAGAACTCTGGTTTAAATTGAAAGTTTCTTGACTTTAAATACATCAATCTTAAATTGTTAACACACGCAGTCACAGGAGCGAGACGCAACATAGAGCACAATACACGATAGTGAAAGAGTGCTCCAACAGACGATGATAGACGTGACTCGCGTAATGAAACACGACGTAAGAATGAAATATGCTGTATAATTTTAATATTTTAACACTTAACATTTACCAGTATATATGATAAATATATATTTTAGTTATTTTAGTATGTATAGACAAGGCATGCAATGAACTAGTTTGTCGTGGATTGGATCAGCACCTGAAGATGGCACATTTGTGCCGAAACATGTAGTGAGAGTGAGAAGAGGGGATAGATGAATGTATGCACTAGAAGACGGATAAAATAAATCATGGACTTAAATTGTTGTTTTGTCTACTATATCAGTGCGAACTTTCCCCCTTTGGTTTTGAAATTATGAAACAGTGGTCAGTATCATGATTAGTTTCTCTGTAAGATTGAATATCAATCACACTTCAATGTTCTTTTGTGAATAAAAATATGAATAATCATATTCTAATGTGCAGTACTTGTGTGAAGTAGTCAGCCTCTCACGCTGGCCACCCTTTACCCCCCAAGAAGATTCCTGGTACGCATTTCTGTCTGAGGCTGAGCAGACCCCAGGGCCATAGTGCAGCTGGAAGGGTTAAGTCAATTGAAAAATCCAAAGACATCCAGATTAGAACCCACCACCTTCTGGTTTGTAGCACAGTGTCCCAACCAGATTAGCAATAGCACTGTAATTACTTGTAGTTCCGAGTGGTGTATGCAAGTAGTCAATAAATCCAGTTCACCAATCCACACCCCATCTAAAGTCACACACATATATGTGACAACACTATGTATCATCCTACCAAAAGAAGTCTAGAAGTTCTGATATATATTAAATTGTGAAAAAAAAAGTGTGCTTTTAAAAATAAGAAACTGGTCTTAACCTCATTACCATTAGAAATTGCATGAAAACTCTCACTGGTATGGCCAGTCTGAAAAGTCCTTCTGTGCAGTTTTAGCACTGAAATCTCCAAATGAAACCTTCATACGATATCTATAAAAATGATTAACTATGCATTCCAATTCCTTATAAAAAGTATCTTCTACAGCGCCATCTCTGTTTGGGACATACACATGTATGACAATAAAATCAGACTCCTAGACCTGAAGAATTAAGTACTATATCCCATCATTAATAATGTCTATTTCTACATTTGTTGTTTCAAGACTCCTATTCACTGAGAAGCCAGTTCAACAGTTGTGGTCCTTGTTGTAATTATCAGCATGTTACATAAATCATGAAGTTCTTATATGAGCAGTAAGAAAGAAGTAAAACAGCTTCCTTATTAAATAATCTGCAACAAATTTTCAGAAAACTTATCATGTGAACTTAACTGGTTTATAGTTGTCTACTGTGCAAAGCTGGCAGTCATTATAGAAAGGGTTTAGGAAAGACATCGCCCTTTTAAATTAGAGATACTACTTTGCAAAAAATGGTTTCAAAGAAGCCATGCTTGAAGAAGCATACATTTTTAACTCTATTGTTATAAAATACTTATCTACAATGTAATACAGAAATAATATAATAAAGAATCAAAAAAAAGGATTTCACCTGTCAAACTCTTCTTCTTCCGCTGTTTCTTAGCTTCTGTACAGGGAATCATGCAAAAGGAAATCCATTAGTATTACAAACACAAAAACAAATCAATATCACACATCTCAACACCTGGTCCACATTGGAAACAACTTCATTCAAAGAAACACCAATAAACAATATCATTGACAGCTTTAGAAGACAGAAAGTCAAATTTTCTGTGGTTCACATACACTAATTTGTGAAACTGAAGGTATGTTTGAAAATTCATAAAGTGTTCAACTCTGTAGCAACAGACATATTTACAGACATGCTTGTGAAAATAATGGAACAACCAACCAACTCCTCACATCAGACTAAAGTACTCAATTTTAAGCAGAATACCTATAATTCAGTCTATTATATAAAACATTTCAATGTGCTGAAACTGTCATTAAATTGACATGCAGTGATATACACTTAACACTGATGCCCTTTTCATTGCTATCTTCATGTTTATAGATTATGTTATTAAGTGTACATATCAGAACAGATGCTGAAGCCACAGAATTGAATTGAATGCACATTGTACCTTCAATGAACAGCAAACTTATGTCAGTTATCCTATGTCTCAGACACACACACGTGCTTCCTTGTGCAACAGATTTGCATGATGTTCACTGCACCTCCACATCCTAGTACCAAAGTCTTGCTACCATTCAGTTTAGAATATTCTGCATTTCCATTTGTTATCAGAAACTTAAGATTACAATATCAACTGTAGCTTTACCAGTGGTTCTGTAACAATGTGAAGCTTGGTATCTAACTCCAAGAGAATAAAATACTAGGTGGTTCAAATATGACGGGGACTGATTTTTTTTTTTTTGTAAACAAGCCGCACTGCGCAGCAGCTGTGTGACCTTGAGATATTGTAGCCACAACCTCCACTCTCCCTCCTGTTAGGGTTAGAACCTGTTCAGGCCTGTCTGGGAGTTGCTAGAGTGATGAGCGTACAGAAGGTACCGCGGAGCGTGGAACAACGCATTGTGATCAAATTCCTCATTGGAGAAAACGTCCTATCCACTGATATTCACCACAGACTCCAACAACAGTATGGGGAAGAGTGTCTCTCATGGACCCGTAAGTGTAAGTGCTTCAGAGGGGGCAGAGAGCGCATGGAGAATGAACCGCATGATCGTCGGCCGCGAACATCCATCACCAAGCCAAACATTGATCATGCAGACGCACTTATTTGTGAGAATAGGTGCATCACTATCAAGGAACTTTGAGCAATGCTGTCCATCAGTGTTGGTAGTGTAGAAGACATCGTGAAATATCACCTGCACTATCGCAAGGTGAATGCACGGTGGGTACCACGCACCTTGACAGATGTGAACAAAATGGTGCACATGCAAGCTGCCAGTCGTCTCCTACAGCAGTTTGAAGACGAAGGTGATGCATTTTTGAAGTCTATAGTGACCACCGATGAAGCGTGGGTGCACTACTTCATTCCTGAGTCCCAGCAATCATCACGCGAGTGGCAGCATACCAGTTCTCCCAAACCCAAGAGAGCATGGAGGAGCCGTTCGGCAGGAAAAGTGATGGCAACGTTCTTCTGGGACTGGCAGGGGGTTATCCATGTAGACTTTCTGACAGATGCCAGAACAGTCAATGCAGCTTATTACTCAGACATCCTGGCAACAGATGTGAAGGAAAAGATCCGATCTGAGCGGAAGAGAGGTGGAAAGCGGGTAGCCTTCCTTCAAGACAATGCACACCCCTATACGGCCAAAACAACAATAGAACCCCCCGAAAATTGAAATGGAACCTTCTGACACATCTGCTGTACAGTCCCGATTTGGCACCAAGTGATTTCTACCTGTTCGGAAGGCTCAAATCAGATTTGCAAGGCATGCGGTTTGTGGATGACGCCGTCATCCAGACTTTTTGGGAGTGGATACGCCGCCAACCACAAGTCTTTTTTGGGGGGGGGCATCATGATGCTTCCAGAAAGTTGAAAAAATTTGTTGACTCCGGAGGGGAGTATGTTGAAGACTGACATGTGCAAGTAAGTGTTTGGCAATTTTTTTTTAATCAGTCCCGGTCATATTTCAACCACCTTGTACAAGGATGTTTGTGAACACTTTATGAGAAGAATACTTGGGCCTAAGAGGAAGGAAGTACCAAGTGGATGGAGAAAATTTCATACTGAGGAATTTCATAATTTGTAATTTCCGCCAAATATTATGGTGAACAATCTAGGAGGATGTGATAAGCAAGGCATGCAGAATACTTGTGAGGGGAGAGAACTGCATACAAAATTTTGGCCAAAATACCCGAAGGAGAGATACCTCTCAGCAGACCTACACACAGATGGAAAAAAAATATGGTGTGAAGATGTGGACTGAATTCAGCTAACCCTGGACAGGGCCAACAGTCACACTCCTGTAGACATACAATTGATCCTTCAGGTATCATAAAGAGCAAGGAACTAATTAATCAGCTGAATGACTATTTGTTTCCCACAAGTGACTCTGCTCCAAGAAGTTAATCAGGTGAGGTGGTTAATTAGATGCATTGGCAGAGATGTAAGAGGACTTCTTCTTGGGGAATACTGGAGAAAGGAGAATGCTTTGTCATAGAATGCTGCATCTTGGAAGGTATGTCAAGAAATTATATTACGTCCAATGAAAGGAGCAAATGGAGAACATAAAATCTGAATTCAGTTTCACCAAACATCACTATGTCATGACCAGCTCAATATATCAACACAAAGTTAATTTTATTAAGCTACTTAAGAAACAGAAATCCAAATTCCTTGGCACATATCTGTGAACGAGTTAATTAAATAAAAAATTTTCAGTGTACATAATGAAATAAATAACTGTAATAGGTTTACTACAGTAACCCATAGTGAGTACTGTTGCTCAGTGTCATAAAATTTGTAGAAATGGCAAAAATACTGAATTCATGAAACATTAAGTATTCAGATTTCAAGAGAGTAAAGTCAGTCAGTGCTGCTCTGTAATGTGTTCACATTTATACTTCAACAGTTTAATAAAAACAATATATCTTCACTGCAAGATTCAAGAACCACTTTCATATAATGAATAACATGCCAGAAATCAAAAAAGAAAAAAATGTATTTTAACAACAAGAAAAATACATCATATTCAATTTCAGTCAATCAAAATGAAAATGATATGAACACCACTTTTCAATTATCTTTCAGTTTTCACGCTACACTCGAAACTATAATGAAAATTTTGTTATGAATTTCAGTAACAGCAAGAAAAGTAATACAAAATTCAGTAGTAAAAGATTTTAAGCTTTCACAGTGAATAAATGCATAAACATTTTCTGAGATGGTAAGCTACATCGTGGTTCAGCCAAAAACCAATATTTCAGAGATAACCTCTGTCTCCACCATCCATGTTCATGACACCTATAAATGGAGACAGAACAAGTCTCCAAAATATTAGTTTTTAGCTGACTTTGATCATGTTCATGATCTGAGAAGACTTTTATGCATGTAGTTTTACTCATTTCTTTATTAGTAGTTTATTTAATGACACTGTTATTTAACACTGAATAACATGAGATGATGATGTATGAATGATCAAAGGATAGGAGTAGTGGCTGCTTCCTGTTTCAAGGTATCCTGGATAGGTACATGGTTTGGGAAAATCCTGTACATTTCTGGTATTTCCCAGTTATAGACAAATGCTTTGCTATTAAGCTACCTTGCATGGCATATTGTGAACTTTAAATACAGAGAAATTATGCTCTAACAGAGAGATATTAGACGTTTTGTGCAGAAAGAAATGCTTCAACAGGCACTGAAGGAGTAATGAATCTTGTAACTTTATCATCATTGTTGTCATTGTCATCGTCATTACAATTTCATTTTCACACACAATTAAGCATCCTACAAACAAACTGTGACAATATATTGGATTTGAGGTTCTCTTGCTGATGGTCATTAAGATTACCGTTTCCTACAATGTGACACCGTGTAGTTTGGTAGATAGGTAGCAAAGTTCTTGAGGAACCTACTCTATCTTCATGCAAAAGATAAAGGCAGTAGATTCCTCCAAGAGCAGCTACTTATCTACCAAACTGCAGTGAGGACCAAACATAAGTGACCCACACTGTATGAAACGTTTTATATATGCGTGAAAGCAACAGTTTGGCCATGAGTCATGCTGTCATAATTAATGTTTGCTTTGTGCCCACATTGTTATTTGACAAAGGTCTACTCCTTGAAAGCTATTTCTCACAGTGGACTTATTTGATTTAAGGATGGTTAGGTATAAAATGGAGCAAAACATATTCCCTGTCAAGACATTTCTTCTGAAGAAGTCCTGCAAGCTGTGTGTACATAAATTTCAACAGCATTATCCAGATGCTTCTGACCATCAAAAAGCTGTGTTCTGAAATTATTTAACAAGTAGTGAGAAACAGGTCCAATTCTTCATAAAAATGAATGACGCATGAAGCATGCTCCCACAGAAGAGAGACTCGAGAACATCTGAGTGAGGATAAAATGAGTTCACGAAAGTCATCACATTGGCTAGAACATGGCTGTGGCATATCGAAGAGTTCCGCTTTAAGAGGTTTCAAAGCTCTTAGCTTTCATCCTTTCATAGTGTCGGTGGTCCAGAAGTTGATGTCCATGTCCAATTACATACATAAACCGTTGTCACTAGATGTTACAATCTGTCCATGATGGACTTATCAGTCCATCAGTCACTTTTTTATAAGTGACAATGATGGGTTTCATCTTAGTGGTTCTGTGAATGCCCAGAACACCTGTCACTGAGACAACAAAAATCCCTATATAATACGTCCTATTTCTTGACCAAATTTTGTGGGTATGTGTTGTGCAGTTAGTGGTCAGACAATAATTTGGAACATACTTTTTTATGTTATGGTGCATCTGCAGCATTGTGTGAACGATGTTTTGGAACCATTCTTTTAAATTCTAACTGAAGAACTGAAGCGATACGTGTATTTCTAGCAGGATAATGCAACAGTTCACATATCACAACATTCTCAAGGCCCTTTGTGAAAATTCTGGTAAAAGAATAATTAGCCAGGGACCATGGCTACTTCATTCAGATTTCAGTGTGTGTGATTTGTATGTGTAGTGAAACGTAAAGCAAAGTGTACATGAACAATCATATTACAGAAAGTAAGCTGCAGCAAATGTCCCAAAATTTCTTATACTGGTGTCAGATGTGTTTTGATGCAGTGGACACCAATCCAACGGTTTCTTTAAAATACAGAGAAGTAAATCAAAATCTTTTCACAACAGTAACCAAGAAGTTATGCCCAGGGTGGTAAAGTTTGTGTCCCTTCTAAAGAACTGGCTCTGGTCAGGAAAAGCTGTGCTCCAAGTTCCATTAAAGTGGGCGTCACTTAGGTACATGGCATGATAAGATGGACGACCATAATCTTAAAACTCTGATAATTTCTACATCCTTCAACCCAAGGTCATGACGATAAATTTGTATAAATGTTATACATTGTTATCATAAGGGGTGATCAAATAAAGTTGGATGAAGAAAATGTCAACTTTGGGCAGCTAAGCTTGAGCTCAAAGAAACATGGCGTGAGGATGCGGACTGGACTGGACTTATAGGGCCCAGTTGTGGAATGTTGTGGAGATCTAATATGACTAGATTTAATATAAGACATGGAATTCTTTATTAGCTTAGCAGCTATTAACTTCTCAAGAAGGGGTCTGCTGTCAGCCATCAGTTACTTCACATGGCCAAGGATATCACTAAGCTTTGCACGTTATTTCACACTACACTTGGTATACATTATCTGTAGTCACTTTCATGAGGCAACATAATGCAGTTCTCTGCAAGTGGAACTCAATTATGTAATTTGTATCAATATACAATTTACACTAAAATTCATGTGATGAACTAATTAATTTATCTAAACCTAATACATTTGTATTATGCATCTACTGAATAACGTATTCTTTGCTAGTTCCACGCTTTTATGTGATGACCAGTTACACAAGGAGGTACTATGAGTGTGGAAACCACCAACAACTGACAATGTTCATCTGTAAACATAAATACAATTACATTAATTTGACCCTAACCCAAGCTCAAATTTCATATGTATGATCCATGCTTTCCGAGGAAAAGTATGTGCTTGATCCCTTTCGCTCCTCATGTCAACAAACTGTTCCTAAATAGACGAAACTATCACATTTTGATCCAATGTGTAACAGATGATTTACTGAGGGTGTACAAAAAGTCAATTCCATACAAAAATTATGGTGATATTCTTAAATGATTTTGGTTAGAGGAAATCAGATTCCTCTTTTCAGATTCATTACGTATGTATTCACAGATACATGGCACTAATGCTGCTCCAGCTTAACTAATATTATCTTTTTCTGTACTCTGATTGCACCAATCAAAAGAAATAAGACATGCAGTTCAGATCATGTGCTCTGTCCAGAAGGATCTAGATGAACTGGTATGATATATTACAAATTACACAGAATAGGTGTCTGTAACATGTCATATTCTTCATGAGAACTGTAGCCTAATGTAAAATGCAATGTTTTATAATGCTACAAGATATAATGGTACACCAGAATATAAAATCCATACAAGGAATATAGTTTTTGTACATTTCATATACAGGTGCCTAAGAATGAGCTTCAGGGTTTGAAGAAGACTCAAACAATATGAAACAATGGAGACAGTAACAATGAATGGCAAAACATGTCAAATTTTGATGCACTGGCCAGTGCATTGTGACACTGGTTGACATTCATGTTTTGCATTTCAGTGTGAGCTATGCTATATGTGTGACAGGCTGTGAGGTTGACAGGAAGAGATGGTCTCATTCCATGACCCTGACTGAAACCCGATTTACTTCTTCCTGTGGTGTTACGTATGAGTAAGGGAGACCGTGTATGCTGAATGAATTAAAAATGTGTAGCACTTGCAATCATAGAATCACAGCAACAAGAGCAAATTTGATATCTGCTCTGAATGGAGCCCATACAGGGGAGCATGGATTCATAAGAATCATTGTACCAACATCACTCTTATCTGCACTGTCCTCTGTGTAAATAAAAATTATGTTTCCAAAGGGTGAAAATTTTTCTTGAATAATATGTATCATTACACAGTTTTAAACTATAATTTTATATATTTGGACTCTACAATCCACATTTGCAAACATTCTCCTGTTCTGTACAAACTGCAAAACTCTCACCAGCTTCACAGCATCCTTCTGCATAGTTCACATCTCAATTATTTTGAAAACGTAAATAGTATTCATTACAGTATACTCTCGATTACCCACAGGCATAACCAAATAGCAAATTAGCCACATAACTTTTAAATTCCACTCAGTTATTGATCACAGCTTCCTGTACTGATTTAAGTGTTGTCCATTATATATTTCATTAATATGTATCTGTGATGTTTTACAATGGTTTACTTGTACAGTCTCATCTTGTTGCAGCTTTCAATTTTATTATTTTATTCTTTCTGGACTAACATTAGCCAAGGATTGCTTTCTTCTGTTTGAAAGAAATTTCTCCTAACTCTTTAGTGAAAACTGCACCTCCAGTAGAATCTACAGTTTACAGTTCCTTCAAGGTGTTAACTTAACACAGCACTGTTACAGCCACTACAATTTACTTCAGGTTTTAGTGGTTAGGTGTTTGTTTAGTCCTTTGCATTTAATTTACATTTGCTGCAGATTCTCTTTATGCCTTTTGTATCAAATTAAGTTGGTACAGTGTTACATAACCCCACACATTTTACTCTGTACTGAGATTCAAAATGGCAGAAAAACACACGTATGTGGGTCTGACAAGAAAACAAAGACTATTTTATAAGCATCAAGCTTTGTTTATTTTTTTGTATACATTCGCATTAAGCATGATGTGCAATTTACATAAACGCAATGAAGTTCCAGAATATTGGGAAAATGATTAGAACGCTGTTCAGTTCAAAGGAATGTTTCAAAACCAATAATTAAGTTATTTTCAGGGTTGAATGCAGCATGGTTAGTGTGCACTTCTAGGTCATTAGATTATCAGTTGTTTTTAATTATCTGCACCACTTCTGTCCATTACTGCAGCTAATCGAGAGTTCGTGATGTGCCTCAAATTAATTCTTCTTCATATGAATTATCTTACAGAAAATATGCTAATAATAAGTACAATACATAGTTTCAAACACGTGATAGCAGTCAAAGGACACAGACAAAATAATCTGTATGTAAAAAAATATTTTTAACGTGTAGGAGGAAATTTTTAAATGTCAAATCGTACAATATGAAATATATGAATAAAATATTATTTAATATGCAAGGTGAAAATGTTTCAGTACACAATGTGATAGTATATATTCTCTAAGACTAAACTTTTGAAATGAGGCCATATGGTACTCAGCAGTATTAGGACCATCTACCCTTGGTTCCAAATGCAGCCTTACAAAGCCTTAATCTCCTTCAACTAAGAGAGCTTTTCTTTGATGAGATTTGTAAACAGGGGAGGAAAGCATTCTTCTTTAACAACGATTATCAAAACTGCACTCAACACAGTAAATTTGGTCCTTGTAAAAAAATAAACTTTAGAAACATGTTAACAAATTGGAACATGCTGGAAATCTGCACAAACTGGGAACATGAATACAGATCTGTTTCATGCAGGGGAAATCCAAACTACAGAGATCACCTTTTTTCCGCTTCTTGATTTCTGCTTCTTGCTCGTCAACAGCTGCTCCAAGAAGAGTGAAGATAATACCAGCTTGGGAGTTCACCCCAACAGCTGCTACTATCATCTTTCCACTGCCCTCCATCACATGAGTTCCTGCAACAGAATTAGATTTCAACAGTGTGTCTTCTTATTTGTTTGTAACTGAATTCGTTAGTTGCAGAAGGGACTGGATCCAATGGCTGAAAAGAGGATGTAATCCCTTTTCCAAATAACCACTTTAATAATGATGGTTATTAATACTGTAACATGACAACTTAAACACTGTCCCTTACGTGGGAATTGGTTCAATAAACAAGCAAGCCACTGCTAGGCAAGAGCCCATGACAACAGAACAATGGCTATGAGTGGTGTTTTCTATGTGGTCCATGCTGAGGCCATATAGCGAGAGCCATGAAGGGAACCTAGCCAATTGTGGCCATGAGGAATTGCAAGAGTCGCCAGCCGGTAAGGACATGAGCATGAAAGCAAAATCCCCAGAACCTAGCAAGGACCAGTGAAGGCATAACAGACTGAGACGTAGTGTGTACACTAATGATTTGTAGAGTGTGAAGACTGGTGAAAGTATTATAGTTATTTGCATTTACAAGTTACAGATGCTCAGTAAATCCAATTAGCAACCATAACCCAATCTCTAGCCACTAACAAGTGATAACAGACTGACTATTTATATGACAATGGAGATATGAAAGAGCACAGAAAAGTTATAACCTCTTTTAGAGTCTATCTCCAAATTTGAACAGCGGAACTACATATAAATATGTTGTTAATACATATGGTGTATACTAAAAGAAATATTGGAATTTCAAACACCTGCAACTCAGGAACAAAAACAGATATAATGTTGGTACTTGCAGTGCAACTGTGAACTCACATACTTTCACTAACAGAGTTGCACAAGCATCCCAACTGCAGTCCACAGACAGCAGTATTGATTAAATGTTCTGCGTGATCATTACAATGTCTACCATACAGCAGGAAGTACAGGACACTACATGATATGCAAAAACTGACTCCATTATTCGAGCGCAACGTGTATGTAGACGTAAGTATGGTGCAAAACAATCTGGTCATATGGGCATTAGGAGATGGTATGAGGAATTTAGAGACTGGCAGTGTGGAAATAAGACACTGATATGTTAGGTTTTTGGACTTTATCCATCGTCCTGGTTTTTAAGATAACAAATAAAAACACGACGTTTCGGAAACTGGATCTGTTTCCGTCCTCAGGTGAAGGAAAACCCTATTCAGTTGGGTCCATTAGAAAGAGCTAGCCTCAATCAATGGACCCAATCCAGTGATTGAGGCTAGCTCTTTCTAATGGACCCAACTGAATAGGGTTTTCCTTCACCTGAGGACGGAAACAGATCCAGTTTCCGAAACGTCGTGTTTTTATTTGTTATCTTAAAAACCAGGACGATGGATAAAGTCCAAAAACCTAACATATCAGTGTGTTATACACCATCGTCAGAATCCTATAGTAACTACTTGGAAATAAGACATTCTACTGGATGGCCTAGAAGGGCTGATGAAGATGTGGATGAAGCTGGGTAGGCTGTCATGTAGAGTATAAAAAAGTCAATCCCAACTGCAGTGTTACAGATGCCGCAAATGACTGTCTACAAAATTCTTCTGGCCAGCCTATATCTAAAACTATACAAATTACAGGCAGCTGCAGTTTGTGGCACATGTGCACATAAATTTTGGAAGATAATTTCTTAAGTCATATTGTCACGGATGAGGCAACATTTCACACCTCTGGATATGTCAATCAGCATAACTGTGTCATCTAGGGCAGTAAGTCTGCACAAAACATTCAGAACATGAACAGGATGATCCCAAAGTAAACATGTGGAATGCACTAACATATAACAGTGTCATTGGACTGTTCTTCTTTGATGAGGACATAATTAAAAGGAATTAATTCCTAAACATGTTGGAAAATTATGCTCTTCTAGAACAACAACAACAACACCCAACAACCATAATCTTATTCTTCAAATGGATGGTGCACCTGTTCATTTTGCTTATATTGTCTGTGACTGTTCAAACGTAAATTTCCACTGGATGATTAATAGGAGAAGTAGGGCTAATTAATCATGTGCCCTCTCTCCCTTGTTCTCCTTTTAAATTATTTTCTCTGGGGCTATGTGAAAGACAGATGCACAGCCAAAGAATAAGTATGCTGGATGAACTCAAAGCACAGATCACTGTAGCAACTGAAAATATTACAAAGAACATGTTACAGCATGTCTGTCAAGATGTGGATTACAGGTGTCATGTATGCAGAGCTACAGATGGTGCTCAGTGTCAAGTGTTTAGCATATAACAATTTTTCAACTTGTGTCTAAATAAACTGTTTCAGTCCATGATTTATTTCACCGTCTTCTAGTGCATACACTTGTCTACCTCACTCCTCTCTCTCGCACTACATGTTTCGGCACAAAAGTGCCATCTTCAGGTGCTTATTCGATTAACGTTAAACTAGTTCACTGCATGCCTTGTCGTCTTCATATTAAAATAATTAAAATATATATTTATCATATATATTGATAAATATTAAA